AATCCTGGCATTGTTAAAGGGAAAATATCTCAGTTAACTCTCTGCTACACACGTTAAATGTTAAAGGCAGAGTAACCACAAATGTATACGAATGACAAATGTAACCTAGTCTAAATGGCAACACAGTGCCATCTATGTAAACTTTCTTTAAACTTGATAATTCGCAAAGGAAGTAATTGAGGATGAATGTTTATATGAACTTTTGTCTTTGTTTTCCTGTGAGGAATCCACCACCAAATATTTTAAATAAAAAATGTAAATTTTGTATAAGTTTATATAATATGAAAAATGGTAACGAAATCTATGTTACACTATTTATCCTGTAAAATGACTTCATCAGTCTGAAGTAATTTTCTTATTAATGGAATTGATGGAATTATATATATATATATATATATATATATATATATATATATATATATATATATATATATATATACTGCGTGCCAAATTATTATCGAGATAACAAATATGGCGCCAGTTTGTTTACATGGCGAAGATCAGTACGAAAATTTCAGTGATTACGCAGGTCAGTGTTGCCAAAATTGTGTGAACGTTTTGTGGGAATTGATTATACGGTTTTTGAAATATTAGAAAAATGTTATCTCGATAATAATTTGGCACGCAGTGTATATATATATATATATATATATATATATATATATATATATATATATATATATATATATATGTATATATATATATATATATATATATATATATTTTAACATTGAGGCCTATTTCATGCTTGAACGCAATCTTCTGGGCATGGGTGTTTTGCTTTTGGTTCGACTATTGATATATGTTGGTCAATGGTGCATTATAGGCGGTAACAGTTATGTTTCAGATCATTCTGGAGAATATTGAATAGAAATAATTGTAAATCCAAATGCGATGTCTAGTTTTATATATGCATACGTTCCATCTCTGATTCCGAGCACTTTTATTTTTAAATATAGCATATATGAAATCGATATTTTCATCATATATATATATATATATATATATATATATATATATATATATATATATATATATATATACAGTCTAAGCCGGATATAAGAGAGAAGAAGTCTCTTATATCTGGGTTTGGTCTATTTTGTTTAGGTAAGTATGGGGACACTTTGGGACCAGTGAAAATCTCTTATATCCGGCTTGTATGTGTATTTATATTTAAGTATATTTCTGTTTGTATGAATGTGTTTATATATTTGTATGTTAGACTATATGTATATTGCTGTGTGTTGGTATTTGAAGGTATATTTATGTATCTATATGTTAGTACGTTTATATATGTATTTGGTTGAGTGTTGTTGTATTTTTATGTATACATGTATATATGGGTAGTTGTTATTGCAGATAGATATATTTATATATATATGTTTATTTGTAGATATGTACATATGTGTGTATATATATTTATGTATGTTTGTGTATGTATATATATGTGTGTGTGTTGGCACCTATTATGTATGAGTTTGTGTGTATGTGTGGGTATGGAAATGTTGGTATATCATGACTGTTTTTATATATGTAAGTATGTGTGCATAAAAGTCTGTGTGTATATATGTGTGTGTATTTAGGTTTATATGTATATGTGCGTGCATGTGTACTTGTTATCATAGATATGTATATGTGCGTATATGTTTATCTTTATATATTTATTTGTATGTATTTCTGTATGTATATGTATGTATGAGTGTATATTTATGTGGGTTAATTTGTTTTTTTGCTGCCGTGTATATATATATATATATATATATATATATATATATATATATATATATATATTTGTGGGTTTCTTTATCCTGTTCTTCTTTGCCTAATATATAATGAAACTATTATCAACTTATATGATTAATATATATTTTTATTGATATTTATGGTTTTAGAATTTTTGTGTTAATATATTAAACAATATTATTTTTAACCATTTTTATCTTTGTATATTTGCTCCCTTTAGTTATAATTCAATAAGTGGTTAGCATTTATTTAAGTCTGAAATATTTATTGGTTATGATTTCTCATTGTCTATGTCATTGTCTGTGGATGTATGTATGTGTATCTATCGGTGTCTATGTGTATGTAGAGTGTATTCACATTTAACTGTGTGTGTGTATAAGTGTTAGTTTCCACGTCTCCTTTTTTCATAAAGGGTTGTAGAGATGTTCATGTATCCCCCCCCCACCTTCCTTTTTTTCTTTTTTTTTTTTTTTAGTCTGTGTGTGTGTGTGTGTGTATCTAATTATGTCTGGGTGCTTATGTATTATAATCTGATTGTGTTTTTGTTGTTTTTACGCGTGAGTTTAAGACCACGTTCACAAACTTTAAAATAAAAACGGAAAAGAAAGGGAAAAAGAAAAAAATATATATACATGTATTGTCAAATGACCGGATGTATTGTAGCGTCTTGTCGAACGTAATTTCAATGAAGAAATGAATAGAATAAACATATATATTTTTTTCTTTTCTAAATAATTTTGTAGTTTTTAAACTTAATAGTGATTAAATTTGGATTTTAAAATTGCCAGTTTTTAATTTTAATATTGAATTTTATCATATAATTTTATAATTATTAGTTAGTATAAATTATTTTTAATATTACACGTATTTAAAGATCTGAATAGCTATTATAGCATGATTTCGTTGTCAAGCTTTTGAATCTTTCTATACTTCGTTTTTTGATTGGTTATTCTAGCTTTTGTAACAATGTTTCCCCCTAGTGTAGGATCGTTAATTAATCTGAAACTTTTAAAACCATTTATTTTCTTTTCAACATCATCACTTGATAAGACACAGAGTGTGTTGAAACAAAATGGCTATTTTTGTAGTGATTTTATAACATACTTATGTTATAATTTTTATAAAAAATAATTATATCTGCTCTACTTTGTATTGAGCACTCTTTTAAGAATAGTAATTGTTGGTTATTGGAATTCATTCCGTATATACCAATTATATACTTTGATATATATATATATATATATATATATATATGTGTGTGGAAATGTTAACATATAATGTTTCAAATTTAGCCATCCTACATCTTCAGCATTTCCTTGATTATAATTGAAGATAACTATATATATATATATATATATATATATATATATATATATATATATATATTGAAGATAACTATATATATATATATATATATATATATATATATATATATATATAATTGAAGATAACTATATATATATATATATAATTGAAGATAACTATATATATATATATATATATATTGAAGATAACTATATATATATATATATATATATATATATATATATCAATTATATATCGCTAAATTTGAAACATTATATGTTAACATTTCCTGTGTCCGATGCAACAATTCGCCCTATTTCATTTTTTAGTATCCCAACGCATTTGGTTTTGTATTTATCGTTAAAGTCTTTAAATATCCCACACTTCAACTGTAGATTTTTTTAGAAAGGTGAAACGTCAGGAGAATATGGGCGCATAAGAAGACTCCGAAATCAGTGCACTTTCTATACATTTTCTCTAAGTAAATTACTTTCTCTTTTAATGACAGCAGCATAAGAACGGGAAAAAATGTTCGTGCTAGCCAATATCGGAGTCTCCGCTGGCTGTCAGACACACACACACACTGCTACAATCAATGTGAAAAGAAATGCCCCTCTTGCATAAGCCACACTAATCAGCCGAGAAAACCCTCCCATGGGCGAATAGAACCCATGATAATGATCTTATTTATGCATCCACTATTACAGCTCAGTTTGTAAGATGCAGGTATTGAAAAAACATATTTCTGTAAAGACAATGATGAATGCATATACATTAGGTAGTAAGCCGACGTTTGTAGACTGCAAGCATAAGATCAATGAACAGACGAGTCGATTTCGATCAATGCAATGGAAATGTCTAACGTTCGGATTTTTACTATATTAGAATCTGGTGATCAGGCTGTATCAAAAGTGTATATACGTCACGATGTAGATTAGGTTTAATCTGTGAAAGTCGGGAAGGGGCACTTTGACGTGGGGTAATGTTTATCAAGTTTGTCACGCTAGATGACGACTGAGTAGTGAGTTCGTTTCCTAATGATACTCCACACTTTCGGTCTTGTGCCACAACTAACCTATGCTTAGAATATCATTTAGTGCACTTCGACTTGGTGTAATGGTTAGAAAGTTGATCTTGTTAGATCAATTACGACTAAATATTGAGTTTAATCCTAACGGGGTGCCCCATACTTTCGGCCTTGTGCCACACTTAATCTACGCTTAGTAAATCATTATGAGAATAGGATAGATATTTATTAATCCTAACTAAGTCTCGTACAAACCCAATATTATGAACACACACAAGGAGTATCAAACTGATTACCAAAAGGTTTCGGCCATTCTGTTCTCAGACCTTCCTCAGGTGCTTGTCGATCCGTTTAACCGATATGTTAAACGATATATAGACAGATATAGATATATATGAATTTCTAGCACGAGCACTGAACACAGATTTTTCAGGTAAATAATATTATATTAAAAACACCAATTTTTTTCCCTCCAGACAAGTAAGTGTAAATTTAATGTCACGCACTTGTTATTAAAAGCAATAAATTTTATTCTGACCCAAAAGTTTTTCCACTAAAAATATTGTTAGTATCAAGTAGCTATTTGTTGAAGGTACTGTGACAATGTAATGTGGACAGATTTTTGGCATTGACAAAATATTTTCTTGAATGTTTTTGTTTAGCAGCATATCAACACCGCTATAGACAATTTAATGCTGAAATCTAAATATCCCGCAAGCAATTTTCTTTTACTTTCGGAGATAATAATGGGTTACTGATACAAAGCTTACAAATTAACCCATATATGTGGGGGATTAATACCTTTCACATTGGTATTTGCGGGTGAGTTAATATAGCGATCACAACTGGAATTGGAACTCGCCTCTCCGATTAACAATTTCGAATAGTTAACCATTACATCAACCGCAAATCCAAGTTGTCTACCATCACAAGCGATCAGCCATCTCGGTACTGAACCGGCTCGACGTTGCTTAATTTCGGTGATCGTACGGGAATCGGTGTTTCAACGCGATGTGACCCTAAGCCTATTTGATGCTATTATAATATAAATATTATCGTACGATGTCCTGTGAAAAGCTGTGTACTTGTTAATTGCCGTAATCAATCGCTGTCTATTTTTGTTTTGCTGGGTATTTGAGTTTCGTGAAAGACATTGCTTAAAAATCGATTTTTGATGAAATACTGCTTTCTTTAACTTAGTCAATCTCTATCGATTACTCGGAAGATTTCTACAAATTTGAATAACGTGAATGAAAAAAAAAGAAAAGAAAAGAAATTAAAATTTAATTTTAAATGCGTCCATGTTTGCTGAAGAAAACTTTTAACAAACACGTTTCACGACGTCCAGCATTCAAAGACCTGTTTGTGTCTTGAATGGATGCCTATTGAAAGCCCTCTTTTATTCTAGCTTCTTTTCATGGATATGATGACATGCATTTCCTTTGTCAATTTAGTTCCTCTGTATTTAGGCATACCGGATGAAAACCAAAAAAAAAAAAAAAATATTATAGCGCTGACATATCGACTTTCATGTCTGAGTAGAGTAACGGTTATCAGCACGGAAAACGAAACGAATTTGAATTCCGGCTTAGTTAGGTGCTTTTGCTTTCGCCCTTGTAATCCATTTCTTCTCCCCGCCCCAGGTATGGGTTAAAAAGTGCTGACGACTGAGATCTCTAGCCTGACAACTGTATCAAGAACTAAGTGTTGTCAATGTGATACACAATCTTTTGTTAGATACATCCCGGTGTGCATTCCGGAACACCTGGATTCAAATTAATCTAAATTGATGCCATGTGTAAAAAAATAAAAGAATATATCTAGCTTTGTCAGGTATTATTATAATTTATATTATATATTATATATGCGCTTTAAGATTTAATATTCTGTGGTTAGAGATATTTTGGAGCGCTGGGATTCAAATTAATCCAAGATGACGTCATGTTACACAAAGCTAAACCGCACCGGAAAATAATGCATCAAATAAAATATTTGTTGTTATTTTGGTTGTACGTCTTCTTCTTCATCTTCCTCTTCATCTTCTCCTTTTTCTTCATCTTCATCTTCTTCTTCTACTACTATTACTAATAATAATAATATCGTACGCATATGAAATATTTTATACACATTTTAAAAATTGGCGAAGGAAACAGGAAAGTTAAGCAACGTAGAGCCTAATGGGTGACCGCTTGGGAATTTCAGGTACTGTAAGCTTGTTTGTACGGGTGTTACAAAGGATAATGGCTTTGAATTGTTAATCGGAGAGTCGAGTTCCAATTTCAGTTGGGTTCGTTATATTCACTTACGCGTAAATACCTTTCTACTCCCAGCTATGGGTTAATTAATAAGACTTGTATTACTAAAACCATTATTATCTACGCACCCAACAAAAAATTCCAAACATATTTTTGACGTTAAATAACCTGCAGTAGGTTAATAAGCCGTGGAAAACGAATCAATCAATAAAAAAAATGAATCAATGAAAATCAAATTGGGTTAGATATTTTATTTGTAAAATGTACAGATGCACCTTTTCTCCCCCAGCTATGGGTTAATTAGTAAGATTTGTATCACTAAATGATCATTATCTCAACAACAATTCCTAAAGAAGTTTTCTGGCTTTAAATAACCTGCAAAGGGTTGATAAGCCATAAAAATCTAATCAGTCAAAAACATAAAACCAACAAGAATCTATTTCACTATCTTCTCGAAGCAAATTTCGGATAATAAATGTGTTGCAACCTAGGAAAGGTTACTGAATGAAACATAATCAAAACAGAGGTTAGAAATGAAATATTAATCTTTATAACATCATCAAAATACAATACTCGCCAGCGTCGTGAAGTAGGTAAACCACTACTAGTGGTGGACTACTTAGACAGCATATTACCTCCACTTACAATAGTGTCCAACGTATTTATGATGACTGGGACATAACCATTAGCGTCCATAGGTGCGCTATATAACAAAATAAGACAAAATACATGGAGAGCAATGATCGCCTACGTCCTGACTAAACATCAGATTTTTTCATGAGGGGTGAGCTTCTCGGTTTGACCGAAACCTTTCCAGAATACCGTTGTTTTAATCAGTTTACCGTGAAACTGAATATGCAAAGAAACGTTTAAAACGCATAAAATTAAGTGTCATTCCTTATTTTATAAAGACCAGCTAATAAATAGATCGATATGCAGAAACATTTCAATATAAGGTCGTTAATAAGAGAAAATAGATGATTTTATAAATTTTAACCGAAAGCAGCACGTGCTTCTCGATCGCTGAATATTAAATGTTTCCTCATAATTGATCGATTGTTTTTCTTTCTAGGGATTATCAACATTTATCAGCTTATTTAAAGCCCCCATCCCCCCAAAAATATAAAAAAAATAACTGTTATTCTACTCGTACATAAAAGTTAATAAGATGTTATGTTCGTGTCCAATTCTCTTGCCATTTCAATAATCCTTATTCCGATATTGTGTTTCAAAAAATATCTTCTCAATAACTTTAAGTTGAAAATTCAAGGATGTACATATTAAAATGTACCTTTTTATACACCATGACAAGAATGACTTATTACTGTTACTCCATGCAGCATATACACTGTTTGCTACAAACTTAGAATTAAATAAATTCACGCTCAACTTACAAATATAATTTCCATCTTACCACAGCATGTATCATTTTGTTAGGTTATTAATAATCATGAAAATCTGACTTATGGATGCCTTGATAAATTTTGATAAATCAGAAAATTAAAATTTGAATGAGAACTAAATGGTAATGGTATTAGCAACCGATACCTTATAAGGAAACTTTGGAGGAGAACTAAATGGTAATGGTAATATCAACCGATGCCTTATAAGGAAACTTTGGAGGAGAACTAAATGGTAATGGTAATATCAACCGATGCCTTATAAGGAAACTTTGGAGGAGAACTAAATGGTAATGGTAATATCAACCGATGCCTTATAAGGAAACTTTGGAGGAGAACTAAATGGTAATGGTAATATCAACCGATGTCTTATAAGGAAACTTTGGAGGAGAACTAAATGGTAATGGTAATATCAACCGATGCCTTATAAGGAAACTTTGGAGGAGAACTAAATGGTAATGGTAATATCAACCGATGCCTTGTAAGGAAACTTTGGAGGAGAACTAAATGGTAATGGTAATATCAACCGATGCCTTATAAGGAAACTTTGGAGGAGAACTAAATGGTAATGGTAATATCAACCGATGCCTTATAAGGAAACTTTGGAGGAGAACGAAATGGTAATGGTAATATCAACCGGTGCCTTATAAGGAAACTTTGGAGGAGAACTAAATGGTAATGGTAATATCAACCGATGCCTTTAAGGAAAATTTGGAGGAGAACTAAATGGTAATGGTAATATCAACCGATGCCTTATAAGGAAAATTTGGAGGAGAACTAAATCGTAATGATAATATCAACCGATGCGTTATAAGGAAAATTTGGTGGAGAACTAAATGGTAATGGTAATATCAACCGGTGCCTTATAAGGAAACTTTGGAGGAGAACTAAATGGTAATGGTAATATCAACCGATGCCTTTAAGGAAAATTTGGAGGAGAACTAAATGGTAATGGTAATATCAACCGATGCCTTATAAGGAAAATTTGGAGGAGAACTAAATCGTAATGATAATATCAACCGATGCGTTATAAGGAAAATTTGGTGGAGAACTAAATGGTAATGGTAATATCAACCGGTGCCTTATAAAACTTTGGAGAGAACTAAATGGTAATGGTAATATCAACCGATGCCTTTAAGGAAAATTTGGAGGAGAACTAAATGGTAATGGTAATATCAACCGGTGCCTTATAAGGAAACTTTGGAGGAGAACTAAATGGTAATGGTAATATCAACCGATGCCTTATAAGGAAACTTTGGAGGAGAACTAAATGGTAATGGTAATATCAAACGATGCCTTAGAAAAGAATTTTGGAGAACTAAATGGTAATGGTAATATCAACCGATAACTTATAAGGAAATTTTGGAGCAGAATTAAATAGTAATGTTAATATCAACCGATGTCTTATAAGTTAACTTTGGAGGAGAACTAAATGGTAATGGTAATATCAAACGATGCCTTATAAGGAAATTTTGGAGCAGAAGTAAATGCTAATGGTAATATCAACCGATGCCTTATGAGGAAAATTTGGAGGAGAACTAAATGGTAATGGTAATATCAACCGGTGCCTTATAAGGAAACTTTGGAGGAGAACTAAATGGTAATGGTAATATCAACCGATGCCTTATAAGGAAACTTTGGAGGAGAACTAAATGGTAATGGTAATATCAACCGATGCCTTATGAGGAAACTTTGGAGGAGAACTAAATTGTAATGGTAATATCAACCGATGCCTTATAAGGAAACTTTGGAGGAGAACTAAATGGTAATGGTAATATCAACCGATGCCTTATAAGGAAACTTTGGAGGAGAACTAAATGGTAATGGTAATATCAACCGATGCCTTATAAGGAAACTTTGGAGGAGAACTAAATGGTAATGGTAATATCAACCGATGCCTTATAAGGAAACTTTGGAGGAGAACTAAATGGTAATGGTAATATCAACCGATGCCTTATAAGGAAACTTTGGAGGAGAACTAAATGGTAATGGTAATATCAACCGATGCCTTATAAGGAAACTTTGGAGGAGAACTAAATGGTAATGGTAATATCAACCGATGCCTTATAAGGAAACTTTGGAGGAGAACTAAATGGTAATGGTAATATCAACCGATGCCTTATAAGGAAACTTTGGAGGAGAACTAAATGGTAATGGTAATATCAACCGATGCCTTATAAGGAAACTTTGGAGGAGAACTAAATGGTAATGGTAATATCAACCGATGCCTTATAAAGGAAACTTTGGGGGAGAACTAAATGGTAATGGTAATATCAACCGATGCCTTATAAGGAAACTTTGGAGGAGAACTAAATGGTAATGGTAATATCAACCGATGCCTTATAAGGAAACTTTGGAGGAGAACTAAATGGTAATGGTAATATCAACCGATGCCTTATAAGGAAACTTTGGAGGAGAACTAAATGGTAATGGTAATATCAACCGATGCCTTATAAGGAAACTTTGGAGGAGAACTAAATGGTAATGGTAATATCAACCGATGCCTTATAAGGAAACTTTGGAGGATAACTAAATGGTAATGGTAATATCAACCGATGCCTTATAAGGAAACTTTGGAGGAGAACTAAATGGTAATGGTAATATCAACCGATGCCTTATAAGGAAACTTTGGAGGAGAACTAAATGGTAATGGTAATATCAACCGATGCCTTATAAGGAAACTTTGGAGGAGAACTAAATGGTAATGGTAATATCAACCGATGCCTTATAAGGAAACTTTGGAGGAGAACTAAATGGTAATGGTAATATCAACCGATGCCTTATAAGGAAACTTTGGAGGAGAACTAAATGGTAATGGTAATATCAACCGATGCCTTATAAAGGAAACTTTGGAGGAGAACTAAATGGTAATGGTAATATCAAACGATGCCTTATAAGGAAACTTTGGAGGAGAACTAAATGGTAATGGTAATATCAACCGATGACTTATAAGGAAATTTTGGAGCAGAAGTAAATGGTAATGGTAATATCAAACGATGCCTTAAAAGGAAACTTTGGAGGAGAACTAAATGGTAATGGTAATATCAAACGATGACGTAGAAAAGAAATTTGGAGAACTAAATGGTAATGGTAATATCAACCGATGACTTATAAGGAAATTTTGGAGCAGAAATAAATGGTGATGGTAATATTAACCGATGCCTTATTAGGAAAATTTGGAAGAGAACTAAATGGTAATGGTAACATCAAACGATGCCTTATAAGGAAATTTTGGAGCAGAAGTAAATGGTAATTGTATTATCAACCGATGACTTATAAGGAAAATTTGGAGGAGAACTAAATGGTAATGGTAATATCAGCCGGTGCCTTATAAGGAAACTTTGGAGGAGAACTAAATGGTAATGGTAATATCAACCGATGCCTTATAAGGAAACTTTGGATGGGAACTAAATGGTAATGGTAATATCAAACAATGCCTTAGAAAAGAAATTTGGAGAAATAAATGGTAATGGTAATATCAACCGATGCCTTATAAGGAAAATTTGGAGGAGAACTAAATGGTAATGGTAATATCAAACGATGCCTTATAAGGAAACTTTGGAGGAGAACTAAATGGTAATGGTAATATCAACCGATGCCTTATGAGGAAACTTTGGAGGAGAACTAAATGGTAATGGTAATATCAAATGATGCCTTAGAAAAGAAATTTGGAGAACTAAATAGTAATGGTAATATAAACCGATGCCTTATAAGGAAAATTTGGAGCAGAAGTAAATGGTAATGGTAATATCAACCGATGCCTTATAAGGAAAATTTGGAGGAGAACTAAATCGTAACGATAATATCAACCGATGCGTTATAAGGAAAATTTGGTGGAGAACTAAATGGTAATGGTAATATCAACCGGTGCCTTATAAGGAAACTTTGGAGGAGAACTAAATGGTAATGGTAATATCAACCGATGCCTTTAAGGAAAATTTGGAGGAGAACTAAATGGTAATGGTAATATCAACCGATGCCTTATAAGGAAAATTTGGAGGAGAACTAAATCGTAATGATAATATCAACCGATGCGTTATAAGGAAAATTTGGTGGAGAACTAAATGGTAATGGTAATATCAACCGGTGCCTTATAAGGAAACTTTGGAGGAGAACTAAATGGTAATGGTAATATCAACCGATGCCTTTAAGGAAAATTTGGAGGAGAACTAAATGGTAATGGTAATATCAACCGGTGCCTTATAAGGAAACTTTGGAGGAGAACTAAATGGTAATGGTAATATCAACCGATGCCTTATAAGGAAACTTTGGAGGAGAACTAAATGGTAATGGTAATATCAAACGATGCCTTAGAAAAGAATTTTGGAGAACTAAATGGTAATGGTAATATCAACCGATAACTTATAAGGAAATTTTGGAGCAGAAGTAAATAGTAATGGTAATATCAACCGATGTCTTATAAGTTAACTTTGGAGGAGAACTAAATGGTAATGGTAATATCAAACGATGCCTTATAAGGAAATTTTGGAGCAGAAGTAAATGCTAATGGTAATATCAACCGATGCCTTATGAGGAAAATTTGGAGGAGAACTAAATGGTAATGGTAATATCAACCGGTGCCTTATAAGGAAACTTTGGAGGAGAACTAAATGGTAATGGTAATATCAACCGGTGCCTTATAAGGAAACTTTGGAGGAGAACTAAATGGTAATGGTAATATCAACCGATACCTTATAAGGAAACTTTGGATGAGAACTAAATGGTAATGGTAATATCAAACGATGCCTTAGAAAAGAAATTTGGAAAACAAAATGGTAATTGTAATATCAGCTGATGCCTTATAAGGAAAATTTGGATCATATGGATATGCCTTATATTAAAACAGCCTTACGGTTGAATCACTTTGGAACACCGGTTCCCGTAGGATCTCTGAAGTTAAGTAACATTGAACCTTTTAGTACCTAAATGGGTGACCGCCTGGGAAATCCAGATGCTGTAAACTTGGATGTGCAGATGGTGTAATGGATAATGGCTTGGAATTTTTTATCGGTGAGCCGAGTTCCAATTCTCGTTGGGTTCGTTATGTTCACATGCGCAGATATCCCTGGGAAATATATGAATCCACCTCTTCACCCCCAAGATATGGGTTAATTAGTAGAACGTTTATGAATAAATAATTATTATACCCAACCTTATAATCTTAAAATCTAAAAATCTTTTCTGGATGTAAACAACCTGCAACCTGTAAAATTCATTGCCAGTGATCTGAATTTTCAGCTAATTTGCTTGTTTTGTATACAAAATCAAAAAAAAGTATCGCTCTTCGAGAAAAATGTCAATAAGAAAATTATCACTAAACTCTTATTGTCTCCCCAAACCCAACTAATTTTTTTGGCTTTAAATAGGCTGATAAATGTTGATAATCCCTAGAAAGCAAAACAATTAATTATGAGGAAATATTCGACATTCAGCGATCGAGCAGCACGTACTTCTTTCGGTTAAAATTTATAAAATCTATCTTAAATCATTTCTTTTAGGAAAACAGGTTTCCCAAGTCCAGTAACGTTTATCGCTGTTTCTAGTATTGATGAAGGCTTCCTTCATAAACTTCTATTTTTAATAATGGTTTCCGATATTGGAGGTAGCCAGCCGATAATAAAGATTTGTTTAAATAATAAAAAAACAAAATTGTTTTTAATCATTTTGCTCCAAGCACGGGCTACTCTGAATGAAAAAGAATAGCGAAAAGAAAGTACAATAAAAGAACGGGATAAAAGAAGACTGAAAATGGCGATTGGCGTTCCATTTAAATTTTTTGAAGTTTGTATTTGGCAGGGAAGCAGTAAACCAGAAGAGAGTTCCACAGGCAAGAAGTACCAGAAATGAAACTATTAGAATAGAGCATCCATTGGCATCCATTTCAACAGTAAAGCAATGAAACTTAGTCGCCAATCGATTAGTACCTTTCAGCTCGTGCAATTGATATACTAAGGCGAAAAGCACGTAAGAACACTTTCGGGTTTTTATTGAGAAATGGCAAAAACTTTGATGGTCATGAGCACATTATTCTCACTATAATGTTTCTTCCGCCAAATATGTAAGCCCACAAGGGTATTGTACTTAACAGTGTCTCCGTAGGGGATAAATATATAGTACTATAAACGACTTTAAAATGTCTTGAGTTTGTTTTCGCTACAACATCGTTCAACTTTATCAATTCAAGTTTTGAAATGAAATCAATTCAAGATTAGGACATAAATTTAAACGCAAAACATTGGCACAGAATTGTCAGATATCATTAAAGTCACATAAAAAGTTTCAAGAAAAGTAAAGACTCCGACGTAGATTTTGGCATCAGAACAAAGAGATGGGTTAGCCAGATAATCTGACAGGCTAATGTGCTAAAGGCAATTTCTTGGTCCGTCTACAATACTTTATATTAAAAAATCACTATATTTACTTATTCACTTCTAGAAAATTACCGACCATATATATATATATATATATATATATATATATATATATATATATATATATATATATATATGGTTATTCAATGTGTCCAAAGTCTGGTGCGAGAGATTAAATTGTTATTATTGCAAAATTTCTAAATTATAGCGATATACCATATTTCGTTGGATAAGTACCTTCCACCAAAAAATAACTTTTCAATAACCGCCCCAGTGTATGCATTTCCTCATAGTATAGAAAATCTGGGTATTTTATTTCAAATAAGTGACCCTTCAAAATGTGAATAATGGCCCTTTCAAACTCTCTGAAATCGAGAAAACAGCACGACCTTTTCGTTGGATTAAATCATGTGATGAGGTTTTGGGTGTTTAGTGTCACCGAACATTTATTTCTCTCCCTTGTAAATGTATATTTTACTCTGGTTTACGTTTTGCTATCCTTCGGCGGGAAAACCACCTTCATTCATTTATTTTAATCTAACTTTCCACAAAATTAAATGAAAATCAACCGAAACTTCAGGTTTCTGTTGCGTTCCGTATCTCCTACTGCATAGGTGGCATCAACGAAAGACTATTTCTTTTTCTTAGTCGTTTTATTAGAGGAGATGGACAGGCATGGAAGCGTGGATTTTAGGAGGCAGCGGGATGAAAGAAGTTCAAGTGAATGCATGCCATTCGTTGGCTTAGCCATCAGCCGCGTGTGGGGCATAGCCTGTCCCTCGAACCTGTATGTGGGAAACGTATCGACGCTTCAAAATTCTTGCAGCCCTCTGTTGACTTATACCCAAAACAACGTTCACCAGCAGATATTTATATTTCATAATATATCTAAACATTTGTGACGGGTGTTCGCAAAAAAGAACCACTGACGAAATTATGATAACAGAACATCAAAATTGTTGTTCAAAAAATAAATACATCTTTGAATCCTTGTAAAATTCTGATGGATTGCCTGTGTTCATCAGAATTCCATGCCCACGAGGCATTCTGAACAATTTCTGACCATCCAGATCCAGCCTTCACATTCCGTAACACTTAAAAAAACTGCATTTACCGCTATTACCAAAATCAGTTTTATTCGGCCCAATATCAATTCAAAGATACACTGATTTTTTTAAAAAAATATTCTTGGGATGTTTCTGTCATTGGTTTGATCAACAATTTATTTTTCTATTGTCATATTTTGTCAGTGCTTTTCCGTTGCGAGCATCGTTCGAAATATATATTTTACAATATACACTACAGTTCAAAAATTTGAAGCAGCCGCCAGAATTAGCATGGGATAAACTTGACGGAAGAGTGAAAAAAATGTAAAAGAGTTCTTAGAGTCACTGAAAGAATTGGAATCAATTATACTTTCTGAAACTTTTACAACGAATCCCAAAAATTTTTGCTGCCGTAAACAAGGCTGAAGGAGGATAGTTTGACGAGAGTAAAATTAAATCATAAAATGCTTTTTTTTCTTTTTGTCATAACAAAATTTCTAATAAAAAATTTCACTTTTTTTAATCATGTATAATAATTTTCTCTTATTTAAAGTAAATGTAGTGTATATATATGAACATTGTTTTTGCCACTCTTGTTTGAGAATTTATTTTTTGATTTTATAATTTGTAAATGATAAAAAGAATAATTGCAAATTATAAAAGTGTCCCAGTTGCTTCACAAGCGAGTGATTTTTCAATAAACGTGCCCCTAGAATAAACTCTTTTTTTAAAGGTCTGACTTCTAAATAACTATTCCACACGCGTACTCGATGAAATACGGTATTTGATATTCATATAGTTTTAAACAAATAAATTACATAATCAGAGTACAGTTTAACAATCTGAATCACTAACTTGACTCTTCTACATATCACATAAAACTTCATGCTCTACGAGTTTCGAAAAGCTAATAACAGTCAGAGTGTTTATCGAATAGATTCTTTGAACTAAAGAAAATTTTGGTTTTAAAAGTCTAGGAAAGTTATATCACTTTAAGAGATATACGGCAAACAAGTCGCATGTTGAGTTGAATGATGGCCTCCTTTTGTCGTTAGAAACTGTGCTGTCACGTTTAATGGTTCACTGGGTATTTTCAACAATTCTGAAAGGTGCAAATACCTGGAATAGGGCTTCTCAGTAATTCATAGAAGCCAACACTAAAGCGAAAATGAACACCTGCACTTCCGAAAAAAACCTCACTATTTTCGATGATTATTGACAACTAATGAAAAATGCATATTTTAAGCGACAACATCTTCAGCTTAGGTAAACAGGTTTCAGCCCAACACTAAACGGAAATTCATTTAAAGATAGTTTTGATGTAGGCTTGGAGAGATTTGCGTTGGGATCGTCCAAATTGAGTCGCTCCCAGTTACTGTTTCACTTAGCACAAACATCTGTTGTCTGCAGAGTAACACGTTGTAAATGCTTTGAATGGAACAACACCGTTTAATAATTCCAATCAGCAAAGATGACACATGAAAATGTTAAGATCTCGACGATGAATATTTACGTACACTAGAGGTGCGAACTCCTCTCTCTTTGGTGCAAGAGAACTTTGCGAAATGGTACAATCAAGTTTACAAATCTTTTAATTGTTGAACTTCTATTAATGAATTAATTTTTATTAAACATTAATTCTTCCCGTAAAAATCTTAAAATTTGTTTATATATATATATATATCTGTCGAATTCGACGTATGAGGTTCAAGCATATCCGTTCCCAGGAAACCGACAGCTCGACAGCAGCACATAAGATTTGATTATAGTGCTGAAGGTTTCGTACAGGACCATCCACACTTTTTGAAGGACCGATTACAGAGACCTGGTGAACTACGTGCCACAAGGTCCCCACAACGACCCTCCACAGGTTTTGAATTCAGAGTTGTCCTTCTCTTAGGCCAGTTGCTATCAAAGGATATAGAACGCAGTCTGTCCTACTATTTAGCCCATAGCTGGAGGGAGAAGAGGATTCACACCTTTCCAAAGGTTATTAGCACGTAAGTGAATGTAATGGATTCGACTGCAATTCGAACTCGGCTCGCCGATTTCTCAGTCCTAGCCGCTATCCATTGCTGCCTCCATATATATATATATATATATATATATATATATATATATATATATATATATATATATATATATATATATATATATATATATATATATATATATATATATATATATATATATAAGCTATTCAACTCTTTTTCTATATATCTCTCTCTCTTTCCCTTCTCTGTCTATCTCTGTCTCTGTCTCTGTCTCTCTCTCTCTCTCTCTCTCTCTCTCTCTATATATATATATATATATATATATATATATATATATATATATATACACGTGTGTCTGTGTATGTGCTTATATATATATATATATATATATAAAAACACACACACACATATATATATATATAAACAGACATTTATAAACATAAATACATTTACATATTTATCGTATATACGTCTATAAATATACGCACACACACACGCATACATAACACATATATGTGTTATGTATGCATATATATGTATGCGTATGTA